CGGCTGTGCGCCTGCGCCACCTAGCGGCCCGCGCTGAGGGCCCGGCAGCACAGGCTGTGCCGATGAGCTTCCTTTCCAAAGTGTGAAGCACCCGGAGCGCCTTAAAACGCTAAAAAAGGGAGCTGGGGTGTGTTAAATGCAATTGAAAATAGTTCCGGGGTAGGATCATGCGGTCCTCTTCTGGTAGCCCGTCACCAGTGAACAGCAGAGCTTTGATGGTGTGTGGTAGCTCTGAGAGCAGCACTGTGCTGCTCGGCTAAAACTCCTGATACTTCTGTTTAGTTTTATGAATTACCTGGTAAATATTAATTTATCCACAACTATAAAAGAACTTTAACTCCTATCTTTAAATGATTCATGATAATTTGGAATTGGACTTCCCCTTTGACCTGCGAACATTTTAACTTCACACTCGTGCAATTCACATTCCATCTCCCTTCTGTGCCTCCTTGATAAAATAAGTATTTTAATTAATCAATGCTTTGTCTTCAAGGTCACTTCCTGGTACAACAGCGGCTGAATGTGCATTAAATTTGAAGAAGATTTATACAGTACAAACAGTGCAGGTAAGGCATGTGGCTCTGCTACAGGAGCTGCCACATGTTATTAATGTAACTTCACACCTCAAGTTTCGTTTTTCCTCCTTGGATGAGTCACACCTGTAGCTTTGCTTACTTGAGGTGTGAAACGTGAGTGTTACTGGTGTTGTGTGTTTGTATTTCTGAGTCAGTGTTTGAATTTCATTTGGCTTTCCGGATGGGAAAAGGAGGAGGCATATTGGATTGGGCATGCTGATTTCTTAAACCTTCCTGAGTTTCCAGTAGTACACTGAATTATATTTAGTGTATTTTAAATACCTTTCCAGCCTTTTCTTCTTTTTCTAATACAGAAACTAACTGTGCAAAGACTAAAAATTGCAGCGTGTGGCGCTTTTTTTTTTTCTTTTTTTGGTGGGGTTTCTCTCCTTAAATGTCTATCTAAAAAAAGATTCTAGCAAACTGAATTAGACTCTTAAACCATGTGATACTTGCAGCAGTGAGAAATTCTGCATGTCTGTGTCATCTGCCATTGCCTAGTAGTGGGTATCTCTTGCAAGTAAAATTGTATCTGTTTTAATACTACAGTTAGCATGAAGTGTGTAGGAAATTGGTATTTGTCTCACCTTAGTGCTAAGCTAGTTCACTAAATCCCTGAAATTTTAGGGTAATGCCAGACTCTACTCTTTGAGGAGTACACCTGCAGCAATCTATTGAAGTTTTAAATAAGGTTTTCTCATGAAGTTCTGCACAACTTCGTACATTGCATGAGATTTCCAAACACAAAACCTTCCAAACTGTATGTCCTAGTTTAGGACAAAAAGAGCTCTCAAATGTTTCCACAGCCATGTATCTCTGCTCCTTCTTTTGCAAGTAGCTTTAGGGTTCTGGCATGCAACAATTTAAGAATAAGATCATAGTTGAAATGGGTGTTTCATACCAAGTTTTTATATTTTTAGTAGTCTTTAATTTCTTCTTGTGGCTGGGTAAAGGTAATGGCTGTTAGGCAGCATTGCCAAGGCCCACAAAATTTTATCACATAATGTTACAATCCTTGTTTCTAAAGTTGTGCTAGTGATTAACTATTATGTATTACTTAATGTATTAGATAATACTTAAATATTATGTCTAGATAATACTTAATGAGTTGCACTAATGATTAATATTGCATCACCACACGTTGATGCAACTTAAGTCTTTCAAAATCCTTTCTATTCCCAACTGTTGGATAAAGAGAGAATAGTTTGGGATCTTTTCAATCATTTGTCCCTGTTGCTCACTACTGCTTTTGGATGCATTTTTATCCATCCCAAACCTGCCTGACAGCTTCTGCTTTTACCAGCAGAAACATTGGGAAATAATCCAGTGGTTCCTGTTAAACTGAATCTTTGAATTTTTGCCCCATTCCTGTATTAACATACATATAAAAGAACCATATCAGGTTCTTTGCATTTGGTTGAAACCTTTAACTCAGACAAACTAGTTGGGTTGCTGGCTAGACATTTAGTTCACCAGAATTATTATTTGTGGTGTTTTTGTAACTCAGGATAATCATAATGACGCTTAGGCTAGTCTTAAGTGAAGCAAGGTGGATGTTTGATATAAATATATCTTTTTAATAGGCTAAGGAAGTTTTATGTACTGGTTTGTTCTTACGTACTCAAAGTAACTCTGGTTTTGATGATTTTTTTTCCCTCTCTATTCAAAACTATAATCTGTGTTTGGACTTCTTCCCTTTTTTCCACCTTCAGGTATGCAGGACTGTCATCTAAAAATAATAAAAGTAGAAATGATTCTGTAAGAAGTTCTTTTCAGAACATTTTACTATAACATAGAAGCTGCCTGGTCTCCAGGAGAAGGATGTTTAATTGGTTCAGAGAAAATTAGAAAGGAAATAAATCTGCATGAAACACCCTCTTGTGTTAATGCAACTAATATTTTTCCTTTTCAAGGATTTCTGGAGTGTCTACAACAACATTCCTCCTGTGACAAACTTGCCTCTGAGATGTAGCTACCATTTAATGCGGGGAGAAAGGCGCCCGCTTTGGTACGTGTGTTGTCAGACATTTCTGGGAATGGGCAGTGGAATAACTTGAAGGGTGAAAGATGTGGGATAGGAGGGTCTTGTTTCTGTTGGCTGCAAACACCTGAACTCAAGAGACCAATGAAAGAAATACTCCAAGGTTCTTATTCAGTTTGAAAGTAGCTTGTACCAAAGAGTCTTTATTAAAAACACAGACTGTAATTTCATTGTCCACCTCTGGATGTAAATGTACAAAAACAGATTATGAAATAGAAGCTAAGAAATTAGAATATGACTCTGAATTTCAGTTTAGGAATACACAGAATAAGTTACTTCTATTTGAATTTTTTTAGCTTGCACATTATTTTCTTTTCACTGAAGCTGGTGAAATAATGATGCAAACAACTGATGGTCCTTCACTCCTTTTCATCTGTGCAAAAGTATAGATATGCTTCATGTACCTTGGATCAAAAGTAATTTAAGACATTATGAGGTGATTCATTGCAGTAAATTCCTACTTGATTGTAGGATAGCAATGGAACAAAGTATAAATAATTGATGTTTTCCTTTCAGAAATCAAACTGCATCCCTTCTTCCTGTTGCAGTTCTGTTGCATTTCAGAGAACCTCAGCACTTTCTGAAGAGTTTTGATCTCTTTGGCATCATTTGGGTTGATTTGGATTGCATTAGGGCTCTTTAACTTAATCATAGTCATCTAACTTTGTGGTGACTTACTACAGGAGATTTCTGTCCTAGTCTACTGGAAATGTAAATTTTCTAAAATGAAATGCATCTGAAGGTCTATGTTACTTGTATGAAAATACTGTGACTGGACAGGATAGCTAAAGTGGGCATGAAAAAACATTGATATCTGTATAAATCAACAGGGCCATCATCTGCAGGCCTTCATAACTTTGTAAGAATGAATGAGAGCATTTGGGGGTTTGATTTTTTTGGGTTTGTTTTTCCTATTTTTAGTTTTCATTTGTTAACCGACTACTAGAGGTCTAAAATGCAAAGATAATTTCTGAAAATTAAACACTTTTTAAAGCCTATCAAAGTAATTTCACATTTTAAGAAAGGGATTGCAAGAGATTGATCTCATTATCAGTAATTTGCTAACTTTTCAATAATTACTGCCAAGAAGCTTTTCTCAGATTGCCATTACAGTATAGTGGCCAATTCCAGCATTCTGTGTATTTTTTTTTTCTTTTAGAAAGAAAGAGAAATCCTGAAGTAAGAATTGAGGATGCAGATTCTTAAAGATGTCCTCCCAAAGTTTTCCCCCTTTTCCCCAGAATCTGTCAGGATTGGTGGGAGACCATTCATCCTGAGGAATCTCTATCAGTGTCATACTAGGTTTAGATATTCCAAAGACTAATTTTTAGGTTATTCCTTTAATTTGGCCTTTATAGAGTTTTAGCAGGAAACGAGAAGCCCTAATTTAAAGTGTTAGAAAAAGAATTGTGACAGAATAAATTTGAGAAACTCACAGGTTAGTGCATTGTGCCTTTGTCATTTCGAGGCAGTTTAATGGTTACAGTTGCTCTGACCCAGGGCAGCTTCAGTCTTTTTTTAATAAGGGCAATTAATTTCTAGCTGTCACAAAACTGAAATGAAGTGTGCTCATGTTCTTTTATTAAATTGAATAAACGGAAGAGTAAAAAGCTGCTGCTGTGAAAATATGCCAGAGGTTTTCCAAAATTAAAGGTTACCATAGTAAAATGTAAAATTGTTTTGTGGCTTGTTCCCATACAGTGTGCAGCCACTTCAAAGATGGTCTGTAGTCAGGGAAAATACAAATATTTTCCAACACACAAAACTTGAAAAGGCTTAGGTGTTGAGTGATACACTTCATATGAACAATGAAAGAATTATCTCTGATGTCAGAAGTCAGAGTCATGCTCCCTGGAGTTAGTAATTGCATTTCAGATGGGATTTTTCTGGGAAAATGAAACCACAAACATAGGGTTATCTAGATGTGAATTTGAATGTTTGTTTTCACTGATCTATCTCCCATAACAGGGAAGAAGAAAGCAATGCCAAAGGAGGTATATGGAAAATGAAGGTCCCCAAAGAAAGTACGGTATGTTACGTTGACTCTTTACTCAGACCTTTTTTAGTAAGGGAGTTTCTTTAAACTCTGCTTGATAAAGCTGTTGTAAAGGTTTTTACTTCTTACATCACCCAACACAACAACCAAACACTACTTTAACTTCCATAACCTTTTAAAGACAATGAGCAGAAGTTTATTTTGCAGTAATTCCATATCTCTTGTTTTAGATAACATTTGGCAATGTATTATATAACAAAAGAAAGTTTCTATTATAAAACAAAAGAAAGCTACAGTGTTTCAATTTGGAAACATGGTAATTGATAATCACCTTTGTTCTCCAGACTGTTTCCTTATAGGCATACAGAGAAAAATAGACCTTTTCCTGATAATCTATGCTAAATTATGTATTTTTTTCATTTAAAAGTATGAAAGATGAAATCCATTCAGGCATATCCTTGACCTCTAATGAAATAACTGTGTTTCTCTTTGCCTCTAATCAAATGCATGTGAGTAACTTCTGTGAACTGCCACAGAAAGGAGATTTGACCTCTTCACACATGGTGTTTATGTGTGTAAGTGTGCTCTGGATCAGGCCTTTAAACAGAAAAAGTGAAGTGTCAGAAAAATGTGACAGCCTTGCAGAAGGTATTAAATGCTGAAAGATGGTACTCAAAATTTCAGCCGAAAGTTAATTGATTTTTGCCTGTGGGCTTTTTCCTTGTATATGAGTTGCAGCTTTCCTCCCCCGCAGTCCCAAGTGGTCACAAAAGACTGAAATTGAAATTGTCTTTTTCCTCCTATAATCCAAGGTGTGAAGATTGTCAGAAGTGACAAGTGGTTTGGAGAGCCTGAATTACTGGGCAGTGAATTTAGGGACCCCAGAGGCCTTGTTTTTCAGAGGCTGAATGACAGCCCCTTTTTGACATTAAAGTACTTTTGATGTCTCAAACTACTCACCACATGGCCTCAGTCACTTCTGAAAGGTTTGCTTGAAGGTGAACTTCAGTCAGCTTTCAGTGCTTGGTAAATAGCATAAATAACACCTTTATACCTGTTTCTCATTTTTCTTGGCTTCATTCTTCACCACACGTGGGCACAGTATCTCCTTGGCTATGATGAACCATCTTGTACAGACACAACAATTAATTATGTAAGGCAGCATGCACTTACAAGAAATACTCCTTTTTACCTAGACAACCTCAGAAGAGAAGATGCTCAGAACTGACCTAGGAAACTTAACTTTTCATTTAAGAAATAATAATGTGAATGTAATGTTTTTCTGTCTTCTTAGGCTGCAGTTTGGAAAGAGCTTCTGCTAGCAACTATTGGAGAGCAATTTACAGATTGTTATGCAGCAGGTAATGATTGAGACATTTCTCCATCATTTCTTTTCACCATATTTGATTCTCTCCTTAGCATGAATATCTGATAAAAGTGGCTATTACACTGACAGTGAATATTCTGTTAGGAATTGTCTTTCACTGGCTATCATTCCACAAAACAAAGCATGGCATTTCTCAAGTTTACAGAGCAGTTCAGAGATAACCCTTCAAATGGTCTCTTACCCACTTTATACACTGATAGGATTGTCTTGGGGTCACTTTAAGCAAATATATGATATTCTGCTGTCCACAGAGGTGGTTCTTGCCTTTGGCAATGTGCTTCTGATACCACCTTTGTGTTTTGTTAGTGCTCCCAGCTGTGGCATGGCATTTGAGCTCTCCACAAAGCTGCATCCTAACAACTTCACACCAAAAAGGGCTTCTTCAGTGTAGCACTGAGTTACCAGCACTGGCAGCAGCAGCCTGACTGAGGCTTTTTAAATTTCATTAATTTTGTTTTCTTTTTTTTTCTGTTGCTGCCTTGACAAAATGTAAAGGAAAAAGAGGGCAAAGTCTGGAAAAGCTGGTGTCTGATCTCCACCAGGTACTGTTCCTGGAGTTTTAGTTGTTTTACCCTCATCCTCCTATTTCTGCTTGTAGACATCACTGTAAGTAAATTGTCTTTGGGAGTTCATATTGCTGACCTTAGTGGAGGGAGTCTTGTGATTCCCTTCTAATCAAGTCTAAGAGTGCTAATAGCAAAGATGAATAATCCTCTGCACCTCATAAAAAACACCATGAGGTAATGTTTCCAATAACTTCTAAAAACAGAGTTTCTTTCTGGTAACTACTTTGTCTGGTTTGAACATTGGTATTTTCCTCACTGAGGACTGCTCTTTTCTTTCACATCTTCATTTTTTTTCCAGCTTTTGGACACTGTTTCATAATACATAAGTAGCAAATTAGACATGTCTCACTTTTAAAGTATTCCTTAATGGTTCTCCCCCTTTCTGTGCAGATGATGAAGTAGTAGGGATAAGTGTCAGTGTTCGTGACCGTGAAGATGTTGTTCAAGTCTGGAACATGAATTCCTCTTCAGCAAGTGAAGCAAAAGTTGTAGAAAAGATTCATAAACTTCTCCCACACACATCTTTTAAAGCGGTCTTTTATAAATGTAAGTATTTTGTACTGTTCATTTCTACCTCCATTAGAAAAAGAAGAAGCTGGTAGGGTATTTCTATGGGAATATCCTACCTGATTCATCATTAATCACTTAGGAATGTAGCATCTGTCATTGCATTAAAATTATGTCCCTTCAATATAGAAGTTAGCTATCATTCAAAAGATATGTTTAATTTTATTGTACAATCTGTTTTGTTTCATGTTTAATGTGCCTCATTCACAAAACAAATTAAATATCTTAATAACTCTTGAGGCTACATACTGTCCAATTTAAGTATTAATTTAGAGGAACCAGTTGCAATCAGGATTTCAAGGGATCTCATATTTTAGGTTCCCTGTAAATGTATTATCAAACAGTGTATTCTGAAAGATCCCTTGTTGGCACATTGTGTTCTCCCCTCCCTTGACTGATTTATACAGTTTTATCTTCTTTTTTTTTTTTTTAATCTTTTCAACTCCTTGACAGAGTTTACATGTTCTTCTATTTTTTTTTTCCCTTCTCTCTTCCCTAGCCCACAGAGAGCATCATGCTTTTGAAGGCTGACGTGGAAAGCATTGAGTGCATTATATGCCAAGATCATTTGTTGTTATTTGGTGTCTTGTGCTGGTCTGGACGAGGAGGAGGATGGTGGAAGCCCTGTAGAAGTGCTACATGGGGTTAACCCTTTTGAGTTTCTGACATTTCAAACTGGCCTATTGCTACTGATAATGAAAAAACCCAAACAGTTGCCTTGACCACTAAATACGTGATTCATTGCTTCATGTTGAGTTGGTGTATTCAGTTCTTAGTTGTTTCTTTAAAAAGATATTTTGGCCACATGTTTGTTCAATCCGACTATATTTGTTTCCATTTCTTTAAGATAGTTGGTTTTTTCTTCTGTGCTGTACTTAGTGAAAAGCAAACATACAGAGATGCTATGCTGCTTTTCCAAGATGTGCTGTACAAAGAGGAATTCTGGCTTGGGGAAATGTGTTTTCAATTTTCACTATGAAACATTCCTACTATGTTAAAATTTACTCACTGGTTTTGTCCCAAGAGAGAAAGAAATTGCACTGCATTTATTCTTATGTACAGTGTAATCTGGTTTTACAGTGACAACAGCACATACTGTAAATGTAAATAGAAAAGGGTGCCTTAAATGAGCAATTAAAAAGAATACATTTATATTGGGACTAACCCTGTGTAGGGTGATGTTAATGTCTTTTAATTGTATTGATTTTAGAAGAGCCCTTGTTCAGGTTAGAATCAGAAATTTCTCGGTGGGAAACCCTGCAAACTCAATACCTCTTATTTAAGGGTGACAGGGTATTTATGGTTTTATATTATATACTCTCTTATGGTGCCTTTCTGTACATAAAAAAGTGTCATGAATAATTTCTAATGAATTGTAGAAACTGGATCCGTCTCTCCCACTTCAAGTATGTCAGTGTCTGTGTCTGCACCCACTGGTTCAGTGTCAGAATTGCTGCTGACTTCAGTGCAAAAAGATCCCGTTGTAGTTTCAAGCCCTCTTCTACTTCTTCAACTTCCTAAGTATCCTTTTTAAAATAAACAAAAAATACAGAAAAGAAATTTGTGTCACAGCTTGAATAGGAATATAAACAGTGTTAACCTTTAAATGTTTGTCTATATTAACTATTTGAGGTGTTTTAACTACCAAAGATTGATGTGGTTCCTTTTACAAGGTAGAGATGAACATACCCTCTGCTGAACACTCCTTCATCCTTTAGAGGTTTTTGAAGAGCTGGCAGCTCTTTAAGTTGCACTGATTTCTACATCTTTAATATATTAAGAGGCAGCCATAAAAATCAAATAAATTTTAAAATAAGTAACACACTATTGAGATTACTTTTTTACAACTTTATCTTGTACTCTCAACTTTAACTTGTATTTATGGATTAAAGCTGTGTACTTAATGAGCATTATTAATTAAACACATTTTCTAAAATACAAGTGTCCTGCTTCTGTAATTGCTTTCTGAGATGTAATGTTACTGGTCCTGCTTTTTCAAACCTGTGTATTTTACATTAAAACTTACTCTCTTAAAAGCTGTTTTGTTCTTAGATTATTTTTTTTTTCAGTGCAAAAGGGTGAAGTACCAGTGGATAACTTGCAGGGATGTACCTGGACAGCCTCCAGGCCTGTGTGATGGAGGGCAAAAGTGACTTCAGAGAAGTGAAGGTTAGAACACAGTGAGGAGAAATGTTTTCCACTACTTGATGAGCAAGATTTCTCACTTGAAATATTTCCCTGTCTTTGGAGGAAATGTAAGTGGAATACTAATGGAGAATTAATCATGCACCTCTCCCTCTGCTTCCTTTTACTTTTGGAAACAAGCCACAGCCTCTTATTTCTTCCCCAGGTTTGTTTTCAGGATGGATGTTTATTCCGGTAGAGTTGGAGCTCTACCAGAAGAAGGGGCTGATCTGGTGATGTCACTGGAACTTTCCAGTTTAAGGTATTACTTTACTCCTCCAACTGCAGGCAAATATGTTTATGTTGTTGCCTTGTGTGCCTCTTTAATATTAAAGACCACTCTGCTTCAACATTGGGTAAAGACTTACATTGAGACAACACTCTAGCTGTAGGGTAGGGTTGCTAGCTACAGGCTGACTATCAAGATCCGTATTTCAAATTGTAAATTTTTCATTCTTTTAAGTTCCTAGTTTATAAAATCAGGGATTCTGCTTTTTTCATATGCCTTAATTCTGACAGTAGTTGTTAGCATTATTTAGAATAAGAGTTGATGGATATCTTTTCAACTAAAATTAATTTATTCTTAGGCCACAATCCAAGATTGGGTTTAGATCAAACTGGGCAGTGCAAATTCACAGGAACATGACAAATTGCATATTGAGATTTTGCAAATATTGATTTTAAGACTTAGTAGAATTTTTGAACTATCCTTTCATCCCTACATCTGTAGGGATGTATTTATACCAAATGATGTTGAACAGTTAATTTTTATACTCTTTTAAATATTCATTATTTTCACCTGGAGATTTGCTTTATTGAACTTGATTAAATGAGCCCCCTAGTACTTCAAAATCTTCTAAATTGTTTAAATGGATATCAGAGAAGTGCCTACAACTTCCTATCAAATTTAATTTCTGCTGGCATTTCAATGTAAAATTAAAACATTTAACTTCCATGGTGACAGACTGCAAAGAAACTCCAGACTAGCTAAATGAAAGAAACCTGCTTCCCTTTTGGGGTGGGAAAAGCCCTGTCTGATCCCTCCCACACTGGAATGGTGCCTTTGGGCACTATCCAGAAAGGCTGAAGCTTTTTCTGTAGCTGGAGCACTTGTCACTTTTATCCAGGCTGTTTTGTGAATTTTGTGGGAACTTCATATCCTTGATGCACCTGGGAAGCCAGGTGAGATGAGGAGAGCTCTGGTTTAGAAGTGTTTATAGCACCTTGTAAAAGTGCTCACTGCATCCTGCTGGGGAAAGCTTGGATGCTGCTGGTGGTAGGTGGAGGGTGGTGTGGAGCTGAAGGGGCAGTGCCTGCCTCTTGCATGGGCTCAGGCATGGACTGCACAGAGGAAGGAAGGAAGGAAGGGGATACAGCTCAGGGGAAGAGGAGATGCTGGCCACACTGTGATTGAAGCCACCTCGGCAACTGGAGCCAGGAAGGAGAGCCATGGATTAATAAGAAGAATGAACAGGTTTTTTAATTCTGAGTGTTACCCTTGTGCTGGTCTGCACCTTCCCAGGGCTGAAGACAGCCACTGGCAGAAGGTGGGAGCCGAGCTCTTATGCTCCCCCCACCTTTATGGCCATCACTAATTGCTCTCTGGGGTTCTTCAGGCTGCAACACAATGGCTGCTGGAGGGATTAGTTGGGAATTTCACTTAACAGGGATGAGAGGATGTCTTCTGGGGCTGGCTAATTAACAGGATTTTACTCTAGTAATTAAATAGCAGTTTGTTGAACACAACTTAGTTGATGAAATCTTCGGAAAACATAACAATTAGCAGGCAAGGAATGGCAGCTTTGCCTCAGAAGACTGTCCCCAACCAGTTGCTGGCACAGTTTTAACCTTTCCTTCCCCAGCAGAGACACTGTTGACTATTAATTTATTTGGTTTTGCTGCTGTTGTTGGATGCTGCTGCTGTTGGACAGCTTGTTCACCCTCTGCTGTCACAGCAGCTGGTTCCTCTAAGGCTTTATCTCAGCTGAAGGGGCTTGAGATGTGCCACATGTTGCTCTCTCTGGCACTGCCTTCTTAAAAGCTACTGCTGGGAGACAGGAGTGTTTGCTGCCAGACAAAGGAATATTTTTATTTTTATATTCTTTCTATGGCAGATTAACCAGAGGGGATGAAATTTAAGAGTTGTCTTGAAACGTAAACCTGACAGAGGGAAATTATTGATCCCACACATCTTATAGAAGCCTCTCATCTGCACACACACAGAAGGGGAAGGTGCCTTCAGTTGGAAATTGCTCCTGTCTTCATCTCTCTACTTCTCCGTGTCTTGTAATGATTCTTTTAGGACAACGAGGATGAGGAAATTAGATTAGACAAACAGAGGGAGATTCCACAGTTTGCTATTAAAGCCACCTCCAATCTTTGCTACACTTTGACAGCTCTCAATTTCTTAATTTGACAAGGTAATCAACACTGGATTATTTCTGAAGCTGTAGGTACCACAGCACAGGGGAATGGGGGCTATGCTCTGCACAGCAACTACACATTCCAGCACCTTCCTCCCACCCAGGGTACAAAATCTCATCCCCGGGAGGGAGGTGTGAGGAGCCAGGGTTGGCAGCTGTGGTGTTAGTGCAGGGCTCTGCAGGATGCTCCCGTGCCAGGGGACAAGTGGACCTGCCTCGGGAGCATGTGTCATCTCCAAGAAGCCGTGCGGCAGCTTCTGACCTCCCCGTGTTTTGCTTGGCTGGGCAGTGCATTGTTTCCTTCCACTCTCCCCGAGGCTGTGCAGACAGTGGAATGGGCTGGCCGAGCCAGCCAAGCTAAATACAGCCGGAGACATCCCGTGGTACCTCCCAGGCACAGCATTCCTGGAGAGGGCGGGTGGGCATCCACGCACCGGCACGGCTCATGAGTCCAGCCTGGTGTCTGCTCCTAGTCAAGGGGCAGGAAAAAGGGCTTTAAATGTGGTGGAGAAGCTGCCAGCTGTTGGGAACAGTGTCAGTGGGAAGTGCAGCAGTCCTGGAGCAGTCCTGGGCTGTTCTGCACAGTGGTGAGGTCAGGAACAGAGTTTTATCTTTTACTGCTCCCTCCCCGAACTGCCTATTGCAGCCCAGTGCCTGTGATGTGCTCGGTCTCATGGAGGAACTGGGAACATATCCATCAGCACTGAGGCCCCAGAAATAAATAAGCACATGGGAGCAGGCTGGAAGTGAAGTAGGTATCATTCATCATATGAGGGGGCCTGGAGTATGTTCAGCTCATAATGTGTAACAGAGTTACGAACAGGCATGGGATGGATCCCCTTCTTTTTGGATCATGATTCTGTGTAATAAACATGCAAGACAATTTGTATAAAATAGTGAGGATTCTTTCCTAGAGAAGTCATTTAAAGCTATATTTTCACATCAGTGAACAACTCAGAGGAATGTTTTGTAGTTACATTTCCATACAAGTGTGCAAAGAGAAAACAACCCAGTCAGCGAGTGATGGATAGTGCAAGTAATCCTGTGCCGTGATGTGCCCTCCCTGGGTAATCATATTCCAATGGGGACCCACCAGGGAAGCACTCATCCTGGCACCCCTGCCTCCCTGCTGGAGTTGTCACATTGGGGTGGATCACATTGTAAGTCCCATCAAGAGTAAAAGAGATTTTTCCTGCATGTCTTTGGCCATGAAATAGGGGGTTTGGAATAGGAAAATCCTGTCCCAAATGCATTAGCACTGTTGGCCCTTAGCAACCTTTCAAAATAATATTTACCTGTGAAAGGACAGGATGACTTGCCAGGTTAACTGGGAAATGATCCTTCATTGTGGCACAGGCAGGGTCTGCACAGAAAGCTTGATGGCTTTTTTTTCACTTTACAATAATATTGGGGAGACTTTTTTCGGGTTTTTTTGTGTTCAGTATTTCCAAGCCAGCTTGTTAGTCACTCCCTACATCTACATCCTACAGCAGCAGCACCACTCTTCTGGCTTTGTTTCTTGGATCCCCCACGCTCTTGCTGTGACTGTGCAAAGTCAGCTGGTGACTTTCCTGGAGTTTGTCCCAGCAGGACAGCTGGGCAGCCCCTCTCCATGTTTTCAGAAGCAATCAGGGTAATGTTTCTCCCTCTGGAGTCTAACTACAAAAGTGATGTGAGCATCTTCATTGCCCTCATCTCCATCCTTCCTGCTTCTTAGAAAAGAAGTTATCTCTGCTGATTGTTCTCCATCCTTGGGCTTCCTTGGAAGGCTGTTAAGTTTCTAAAATTTTTAAGTTTTAAGAAATTACCAAAAACTCTCATTTAATCTTTTCAGGGTGATTTTTTTGTTGTTTCTTGTTTGCTTTTCTTTTTGCGAGTTCATAAATTTAAGGCCTCAACAAGAAAACACCTGCAAAGAGCTGAAAGCAAGTGGAGCTCCTGTGAAAGGCTGGCACTGGAGCTGCCATGAGATGGCACTGCGACATCAGGCATGGAACTGAGCCGCTCCATCCCGCCGGGTGTGCGGGGAAGTACCTTTCTGGAGGGAGAAAAAATGCCAAGGAAGAGAAAGGACTTATGTAAGGATAATTCTGCTATTAGTCAGGAGGAGCTGTCATAGAGCTGTGTCTGGACTGGACTTTTCCTGCTTATACGAAGCACATAATGCTGTAGGAATTCGTGTATAAACAGTGCAAATAAGAGGGGAGGGTGGT